TGCTGAAATCCTAGTGTGAGCTGGAAGCTGCATGTACTGTGCATCTCTCCTTCATGCACTTCTAAGATGAAAATAGGGTTTGCGGCTATAATTTATAGTTGAATCAATTTGCAATGTTGCACCCTTATTCTGCATTTTTTTTTTTTAACCTTAATGCTTCTAGTAATAAAGATTTTGTGAATAAGTAACCGCCTCAGTTGCACAGGAATGTGTTCAGTCATCCTGTTAAATGAGGTTTTTGTTGGTGTTCCTTGAATTGATCCCTGTTACCCTCTGGTGCTGCAGCTGTTCCTAAAAAAAGGACGTGCCATTTCTTGCACAGTAGCTTGCATAATGTTGACAAGGGAGAAAGTCATACAATTCCATATTAAAGCAGATGTTGCTCATGTGAGTTTATTATGTACACTCTTTAATACTATTATATGAAATGATATGATTATGAAGAGTGTAAGATTTCTTTTCTTTCATTTGAAACATGAAAAGCATAGTTGGCCTCAAAATAGATTTTATTACCCCCTCCAAACACACACTTCTAATATGCCTTTTGTACAGATGGTTGTGATGAGTTTGGTTGCTTAAGGCTACATCACATGTGCTCGGTCAACCTGACTGTTTGCTAACCAATTGGAGTGGTACCCCATGAGCAGAGCACAGTCCCGCAATGTGTGACAAGGATTTGACCTGACAGTTTTACAGTCACGCAACACATGCAGGCTTAGAGCAACAGAAAGGGGCATGAGGGACTGTGTGGCAGAGACCTGTGCTGTTCCTGCTGCCTCTGTGGAGAAAAATGTATAACGGTCTTGTCAAGGAAAACTGAAAAGCTCTTCTCTTTCCATTTTCTTTTTCCCTCTTTCTCTCTCCTGTGTTACTTCAGACTGGCTAGGTGTGGAGGCATCTCTATTTTTACTTTGTATAAGACACTGACAAACCAATTGTGTTTTTGTGAGGGAAATATATTAATTTATTACTACTGGAAGCCATGTGGTTTGTCTTTGGTAGATTATTTTGCCTATCAAAATGAAGATGCTTGCATTTTTGACTGTTGGACTGCTTCCTTATGCTCTGCTGTAGATTGGCAAGGGACATTGTCCTTTCATCACTTATTTAATGCCTTTAATGTCATTTGATAACTTTCTGTGTACTGATTTCTTCAGGGATCTATGAACTTGTATGTTGTGAAATATTTCTGATCTCATCAACACTGGGATAGATTCACCACAGGAAGGACATGGACCTGTTGGAGTGGGTCCAGAGGAGGGCCAGAAGAATGATCAGTGGGGTGGAGCACCTCTCCTATGAGTACAGGCTGAAAGAGCTGGGGTTGTTCAGCCCGGAGAAGAGAAGGCTGTGGGGACACCTTATTGCAGCCTTTAAATACTTAAAGGGGGCCTACAAGGGGACGGGGACTTTTAGCAAGGCAAGGCCTGCTGCGACAGGACGAGGGGTAATGGTTTTAAAATAAAGGAGGGTAGATTTAGACTGAACACAAGGAAAAATTTTTTCACGACGAGGGTGGTGAAACACTGGAGTGGGTTGCCCAGAGAGGTGGTAGATGCCCCATCCTTGGAAACATTCAAGGACAGGCTGGATGGGGCTTTCAGCAACCTGATTGAGTTGTAGATGTCCCTGCTCATTGCAGGGGGGTTGGACTAGATGACCTTTAAAGGTCCCTTCCATCCCAAAGCATTCTATGAAATTACATCACACGAGTGTTTGAGAGCTTGTCACTTTGTGTCTGATGTGCTGCACTGTGCAAATGATAGATGGTTGTTTAGCAGGGATGCTGAATAGGTTTGCTTTGGTTCAGTCTTGAAGATTGCTCTGTATTGGGTTTTTTCTGCATAACCCATTCTCTGTAAATGATACAAGATGGAAAGTTAAAAGTGACTAATATAAGTGAGTTGGGAGTGGATAAAATCAAAGTATGCTGTATGAAAGTGTTAAGTAACCCAAACAGCTAAACAAAAAGGAGGTCTGTGAATGATTTTGAGGGTAACTCAATGAATTTATTAATTAGCAGAAAAGAGGTTTTTCTTTTTTGCTTATAAGCAAAGATATGGTCGCTCTCATTTTTGTAGTGGTGTGGTAGGAACTCAGATAATCTACTGAATTTCTTATTGCATATTTTCTGCTCTGGTCCTGCGTTATTTTAGTCTAAAAAAATGTCAGGAATTTTTACCTAGAGGCTTTCAGTTATAGCTTGTGGCTTTCTTTTCTGTTTGTCATGTAATAACGAAAGCTCAGCTCAATTTGTTTGTTATGCTCAGAGTTATCCAAGCACTTAGGTATTTCTTTAATAGTGGAGGGGAGTTTCCCCTTTCTGCTAGCATACAGAAAATTAAATTTTGTGTTTTTCATGTGTCTGTGTTCCCTTAAAGCAGAATTTACCTGGCCTGTTGCAGCTAACCGGCTGCTAAAGCCTTCTCTTGTAGAAGCAGTGACATGTGATCTCACACTTCACCTCTGTTCCTGTTCCTCTTGCCACAGACTTCTATCAGGCTAGTCCATTTACGTGTACTACAGTATTGCGGGTGTGTTTCAGAACTGTAATGTGGGTGGGTAAACTGTATCTGCTAGAGGTGGAAAGACTAGCAGTGGATGAATTGCTTCCCTGGCAGCAGCTCCTCTGGATGCTGTGCATTGCTGCTGCATTCAAAGGCCTGCATGCATGCATGCCTCACCTTTGACTCTTGAAGTCCCTTCTCTTGAAAACAGGAGGAGCAAATGGAGTTGGCTGGTGTCAGGTGTCTCTTGCCTGTTAACAAGGGCAGCACCTGGAAGGTGGGAAGAAACAGGTGGAGTATTAAGAGATGCAGCTAAGCATCTGAAAGGGGCAGTGAGCAGTAGCAGGAGGAATGTGAGAGACTGGAAGAGAAGGCAGGAGAACATCCAAATAGCAGATAAGGGCAAGTGATGAGCTGAATTTGAAAGGAAATGGCTGTAGGGAATGTGTGTATATATCTAAACAACAGCATTCATGGAAAGCATTAGTGTTTTCATCAGCAGAAGCATTAAAGCTAGCAGTTGTAAATGCCAATGAAGTCATGTCCAAGTTTGTTTTTCAATTTTAACAGGGGGGGAAAAAATCTCTTTTGTAGAAGGAGCAACCTTATCTATTCAAGCAACTGAATAGTAGTATATTATTCCTGTTAAAACGCTTTTAAAATGCAGACTTTTTAAGTGATAGTGGGTGAGCTGAAATAAAAAGTTCTTTTGCATTTGATTTACCTGTGTCAGTAGAGCACTGAATGGTGGATTAAAGGGAGGGGACTGGAGATAAAGGGAAAAGAAATCACTGGAGACTAAATAGGATTTTAAAAAAAGACTCCATAGTGGAGACTAGGTATCGTAAATCCCCTATGAAAAGCTTTGTGGTTTTGAGAATTGGGTGATGAGTTCCTGGGACCTGAGCAAGACAGATCAAGAGATCCCTGTGTTCTTCCAGAACAGGTTTTCATTAACTTCTGGAGGCTCATGCTTTTGAGAGTTTGGGCCATACCTTGAAAGGAGCTGAGGGATCTGTTTCTGTGTACAGTTTTATAGACCTGGAAGAAGCCTTAGTTGAAGAGCACACAGTGGATTCCAGGAGCACTTGTTTATCTTAATTTGACACTGCTTTGACAAGGAAAATTTGAATATAAGAGCTTTCAAGGAGCTATTGCCACTATGGTTGGCCTTCATTGCTTTAGTTTTTGTCTTGTCACCTCCTTAAAGTGACTGTTTAGTCTGTTGTGGGCTCTAGTTTCTAACAAGCTTGTAGCATCTCCTGTTCACAGTTGAAATGCTTTTGGAAACAACCAGCTGGTAGGCACACTAACTGGCCAGTTGTTGGGAGAAGTTCTGAACAATGCTTTGGTTTCTTCAGATATGGATTTAAATGCAGAGTCTCCAAAATAAGTGAACTCCTCTTTCTTGTTATTATCTTTTGGGCTGTTTACTTTTTATTTGATGGGCCACTTGTTGCTTAATCTGTGGCCTCAAAAACATCAGTTGGGAGGGAGATAACTGCCTGCCACCTCAAGGCAGCATGTGGTCTATTGTACATGTGCTGCAAGCAGGGGGCTTGTATGTTGGAAATCTGCCACGTTTGGGTCTAGGGCGATCTGTGGGCTATCCTTTCCTGCTTATAAACACAGATTGGGTTCATGTATTGGTTTACAGACTGGGTGTTAATAGGCACCATCCTAATTGAATGTGTGGAGCATTTCTCCATTCTGGCTTGGATATAGAGGGCTCTAGAGAGCAGCAAAGGAGGGGGTGTTCAACAGTCTTAGTTATGTGTTTAGTACAAATATGTGATAAACTGTGCATTGCATCTCTGAAACTACCTACAGTAATAATGTTGCTTATTTCTCAAGAGGATGTCATTCCCTGTGGATATGTTGAACAGCTACCGTCATGAGGACTTGGAGAGCTCAGCAGAGGACTACTTGTCTGACCTTCGGTGTGGGAATCCAAACCATCCTCAATTCTTGTCTCTGCCAGACCACGGCAAAGTAAGAACCAGCAAATACCTTAGTCCCAGTTTTCTTGATATACTTGGAGATTTAAAGGATTTAAAATATCCAGTCCATAACTATTGAATTACATAATTATTTTAACAAAGTTTTTGTATTTTCCAAATTCCTGTTTGTGTGTTAAGCTATACTTTTTTTCATTCTGTAATTAGCTTTGAATCTGGGCATCAGTGACTATTTGCTCCTTCTAGGCAATGGATCTGTATGCGTTAAGTAATTTTTAAAAAACCTTAAAATTTCAACTGATGAGTCTCTTGCCTAAAAAGCACTAACTCACACAGTCACAAAAATCTATCATTGTAACTAAGGCGTTTGTGATTTACTGAAGCTAACTGGCTCTTTTTGAATCTCAGTCCTTCAGTGTTCTTCATGATTGGGTTCCATTCTTGATCAGCAAGTTTCATTAATTTCAGAAGTGATTCTTTTCTTCTTATCTGAAATATTCCCTGCTGTTGTTGGGAGCTCTAGTAGAGGCTGACTGCGACGCTTTGTTTTAAACACTTATCCCTTGCGTGATAAGTTGGTCAATGTTGGTTCTGTCTAGATGAACATTTATATTAGAACTAGTACCAATAAAAGTAAGGGAGTATAGCTTTAATGAAAAGTAAGTGAGCTGAGAGGATTCTCTGGGGGAACAAAAGGTCAGTGCTGCAGATTCCTTGGCAGAAGCAGAGTCTTGAGTACTTTCCTGCATTTCTGCAGGTGCTGTATGCCTAAATATTTGTTTGTATTAACATCCTTGTTTGTGGCATAGCATATCATAATAATTTTAAATTGGGTAAGCAAGTGTATTTACCACACTGTTAATGTCTGTCTAGTTTTTATGCATTAATTAAATATTGAAAACATGTGAATTTAAATATCAAAATGCATTTCCACAAAGGTACTCAGCTCCTGAAAAGTGGACTGATTTGACCATTCTCATGTTGTTCCTAAGGAGAGATGAAGTAGACAACTTCGGAATTCCTAAAATGTGTGCAATTCAAGGGAAGAAAATCCTTCTGAATCCAGCCTTCCCACCTTAGCCTATTAGGGCTGATGTTAACAAACAGCGATTTTGCTGTGCCAGTTTGTTTCTGTGCTTGACTGCCTGCCTTATTCTTCTGTTGGCTTTGACAGCTTGCATAGCTGGGACAGTTGAGGTGAACATACTGCTGGCTTTTTGCACAACTTCAGTTGTGCACATAAATGCAAACTGCTGACAGCAGAGAGCTGTAAGAGTATAAATTACTGTCGCTAAATCTGCCAGAGCATGAGAGTCAGAGCTCTTTATAAAGTAGTCTGTCTTTAGGAAGAAACTTCTAAAGTAAGGGCTGGGGTGTGATGCTTGTCCTTTACAGTTAACTGTTAAGCACTCAGTTTTCCACATTGGTCTTGCTTACCGTGCTAAACGTTCTCTGTATATTTTACTAATGTTGTTTTAGCAAGAGTCTATTGAGGTATTGTACACTCTTGTTTCAGATTCCTATTAGCTTGTCAACTGTGGGCTTCGTTCCTCTTTATGGTGAAGAGCAGACACACAAAGTTCTTGCTTTGTTTGCACCAGGGGACTCGCTCACAGGTTTCATTTTAAGATTTTAATCTCCGTGATGCTGTTTCTTTTTCTGTGACAAATACATGTAACCAGGCCCGTGCTCATTCCATGCTAGTGTAGCTCATAACTTTGCCAATTTTGCATTTGTTGTTCACTGCGTTCTTGTTCCCATACTATTATTTTTGTTGTGGATTCATATACACAAGTGATAGAACTTGGCACACTAATCAGAGTAGAACTGGACCCATTGAATTCAGAAGATACATACCAAAATAACACTGCGCTTGTCTGAATCCAAGTACAACATGTATCTCTTGATGTCTTTATGTACACCTCACCTCTCCAAAAGGAATTTATTGAGCATTCATAGAATCTGTTAATTTCCCATGAATTTAGATGCTCTTTATTACAGTGATTGATCAGCATCAAGTGTAAATTTGTCTTTAGGCCCTAACATAGCTCTGGCTAAGATGACATCTTACTGATTTGGGGGTTTTTTTGTTTGGTTGTTTGTTTTTTTTCTCCCTTCCCTTCCAGTCCTCCATGTCTCCTTCTCTTTCCATTTAATGCCATGTATGATTGCCAAATTTGCCACAAATGCCCATAGATCAAACTCTTCCTGGTTGCTAATCACATGGCCATCAGCCTTTTTACATTCATCTGACTCCCTAACGCTTGCACAGTTTCAGTATCAATATCCATTAGCAACCCTAAACTAAAATACACATATGAATGAGACTCCCCTTGGCAGGCCCAGTTTTTAGTGGAAGGAGGTGCTAGAGCACAGTGATGAAGGATAGTGCTTATGTCTGAAAAACAGTTGCTATATGTCATACTGCACAAAATCTGCATTTGGTTTTATTCTCAGTTTTCAAACAAGTTTTGGACTAGGGAGCATTGCATATGGGGGGGTGTATAGCACCACGTTTGTTGTGCTAGGGTAGTAAGAGCTGCATTAATATAGTGCCAACTAGAACATGCTTAACTCGGTTACGACAGTGTTATTTCTAATTGTTTAGCAGCTTTAATGAATATGTTTCTTTCGGAATGGTAAGAATCACTAACTTTTTATTTCCCCTTGTTTCTTTCAAGCTGTAGCCCTGTATCTTGCTGACCAGTGGTGGTCAATTGATGACATTGTGAGAACATCTGTCCCTGCTAGACAGGGGCTTCATCAGGTAAAGCTCTCCAACATTCACCTAGCAATTATTCTTATCCTTCAAGATAATGGCAAGTAATGGCCAATAGCTAGTGTGTGAGATGTTACATGTTTTCATTTCATTCAGAAATGAGTTGGCTGTCTCAAGTCAAAAGCAAGGTCAATGGGAATAGAGGAATAGGCACTAGGGGAAAGGGAACTTGGTTGTGAAGATAGTGTCTAGAGGAAGAGTGACTGTCATACAGTAGCTTCATATGTAAGCTATTTAGATGTCAAAAATGTTAAGAGGGTTTTTTTTTTACTCTTTAGAACATTGTATGTCTGGTTGTACTGAAACGTCATGGTAAAGCGGCACATTGTACCATAGCGGTACCTATTGGTCTTACAGGAGAATAGTAAGCTAAAAATATTGTCGGGAATCTGTTTGATAGAGGCAAGTTGGAGCTGGTGGCTTGCAGTGGTAACACATGAGGTTTGGGAAAGTACGTTGCCTGGTATCTGCTTTATTGCTCATCATTGATCTTTGTTACTGTTACTGACACCTATCTAGCATGGAGTTTTGTTTTTTTCCAAAACTGGAAATCCATATTTTTCCAGGAGTGTAATTTATATCTCCTTGTGGAATCTGGGCATCTTTGATTTTTGGATTTTTTTAATTTACTCTAGAGAATTTGGCATGTAGCCTTATTTTTCCATGTGCTTCTTAATGGTAGGATGGTGATTAAATCAGGAAGGCTGAATCTTTCACAGATAGGGTAGTTATAACTCTGGGCATTGGGAAGACAGCATGGTTCCTCTGTTCTTCCTTCACAGTGGGTAGGGTAGTGGTGAACTTAAATTTCATATGTAAAAGGAACGCTGCAGGACAGAGAAAAGGATATTGAGTTCCTTGTTTCGTGCCACAGAAACTGTTGTAACTAGTTCTTCCACAGCATCATGTCCTGTTGCCTGCCACTCTGTCAGCAGTGATTGAGTGTGCCAAGTCCTTCTACCCTATGAGGATCATCATTTCTCCTTTGTAAGACTCCAGTTACTGGCTAGCCTGGGAAGTCTGAGGCTGGTCTACTGCTATTGTGTTTGGTGAATGTTTCTTAAACCCAAAACCAGTTTTAAGTTAAAATGGAAACAGTCCCCCCAGCGCCCTGCTCCCAGGACTTCTCTCAGCTTTGACCCATTGGATGAGGAGTGACACTGAAGTAATGAAATATCCTGTGTCTATGGTAGTGCTTTATACGTAACCTATTGCTATGGCTTCCCTCAAACAAACCCCAGAGCTTCATCCTGCTTTAGCACTTACAGCTTCTCTTCACTCCGTCTGCAGCTGTGTTAACTGGCAACTTTGAAAAATAAGGTCCCTGATGTGTGAGTATTAACTAATCTGACCACTCTTCTAAAATGTTCTTCTGTGTTTCCTTAGGTGAAGTCTGTTGGAGAGAGGGTTGTTCTCTATGTTCTGAATCGAATTATCTATCGGACGCAAGAAATGGGAAGAAATGAGATCCCATTTCTCTGTCATGGTAGCAACCACTATGCTAAGATCATGTGGAAAAAAGGAGAGGCTATTGGGTTCTATTCTGTTAAACCTACAGGTAAAACACTTGAGTATTGTGGGATTTGGGGGAGTAAAAAGGGGGAGATAGGGAGCTTATCTGAAGAATATTGTATTTGGTAGACTTTACAAGCCTTGCAGGCCTAATGAGTTGGTGTTTACCTGAAATCATAAGAGGTCAGATTGCTGTTAAAATTTCTAGCTTAAACGCTTACGTGCTTTAGCAATCTAAGAAGGTTCTTAGATTTCTTCATATTCAACAAAATATATTTAAAACTGTAGAAATGAGATATACCCAAAAGCTTTTTTTTTCCTTTTTCTATGGAACAATTGTTTACGGTTGGATTGGGCTGTACTTGGGTTTTTTTGTTTTGGTTTTGTTTTTTTTTTCGTTGTCTTTTTTTTTACATAGCTCCAGAATGCAGAGATCCTGTTTGTCTGAAATGATTGTAGAATCAGATGTGATTATCACTTAAACATTTTATAGCATGACAGCATAGAAACTTTGCTCACAGGTATAAGATTCAGCTACACCTGGTGATAACAAAGAGATTCCCATTCCTTCCAAGCATGCATTCCCTCAGAGATTACAATTGAGGTGACAGGTTTATGTTATTAGTGTTACAGACTTTCTGTTGTTTTTCTCTTTTTCTAAACATTATAATTTCCCTTCAGTTACTTTGGAATATGTATTTTTCATTTTTTTTGCTGAATAAAATTTGGTATTTGGGTAGACTGTTTAGCACCTTGATAGCACTTTGTAGAATATCAATATTTGGATCAAGGAGAAACAGTCTGGCATTTTTGTTTCATCTCTAAAGGGGGTTAACTAATTCAGGATTAATGATGGTACTGGAGACTTGGTGGAGACTTCCTCCATCTGACATACATATATACCTTTGCAAACTCTTAAAAATAAAATAGTAAACTGTCTAGGTCACTGACCTATTCTGGTCTGGCAATCAAGATAGGAAATCAACCAGCTAATTTGTTCTGATATCTTTTTGTGGTTTTTTTCTTTATTTTTAAAGAAATTCTGCATTGCATAATGTGTGTAAGTCTCAGTATTATTTTTAAGGTCAAAATTCCTGTAATGTGGTGGTCACAAAGTAGTATTTACATTCCAGTGGTCTTTGTTGTGGCCTTATAAAGCTGGAAATTAGCGTAGTGATTCTATTTTTGGTCTAGAATGGGGACACTTCTTTATGTGGCACTGAAGTTTTGCTGTACTGATGCTCACTTGTTATATTTCTCGTGATGTCCTCTCATCTACTTGTCTTGAGTTAGCAAACACTGAAGGCTAATCTTTCTAGGCATTATGAATATTTCACCCACATTTGATTGTGTGCTGCGTTCTCCAAATGAGTAGTCTATGTGGAGAAAGACAGCTCTGGAAACAGATGGT